CAAACTACTAAAAAAGTTGAATTAACTGCATATTGTTTGTTTCTTTTCATGTCATTCAGCTAAATCCACAATTTAAACGACCAGTTGTGGTTTTAAAGGGTTTAGAAGAAGCTGGATTCTTAAATATCAGCCACATCATTCAAGAGAACATTTTGTTTCTGCACTGAGAGGAAAATAAAAAGGACGTCTGAGCATGAAGCAGCACAAAGGGGCTCAAACAGATGATAAAATGATACCAAACTCCATCCTCGGCCATCTTTTCTAATACAACAGTGCACTTTATCTTCTTTATGATGTGTATCAGTGTGGATTCTGAGCTTTTGATGGTAAATGAATCAAACCTCATCCAGTTGGCTTTGGTCTCATCGCTGCCATCGATGGACTGATACGTGTTGCTTGCATCGACAACCTGAAACAGAAAACAGAGACAGGAAGCTGATGGAGACATGAACATGTTTAAAAACCTGTTTGATCTGCGCTCAGGCTGGTGGAACTCACGATCCAGGAGAAGAAGCCGGAGGATTTGTCTTTGGACACCAGCTCCCCCTCGTAGGGACCGAACAGCGCCCCCTTCGGGATGGTCGCATCCAGACAGCGAACGTCCACCTCGTCCCCCTCGGTGAAGACCTCCAGGCCGGATGGGACGGTGAGCGCCGCCCTGTTGGCCGTCCCCGGAGTCACGGGGGTGTCGGGGACGAACAGCGGGGGCCCGTGGGACGGACACTCCTTCTGGAAATAGTCCTGACAGTCCTCACAGACTGGAGGACACAAGAGGTCAGTAACGTATTAGTATTCATTTGGAGGATGAAGTAATCTCTCTTTAAAGGGTCTTTAAGCACAAAAAACAATATTTTGGTTTCAGAAAGAACAGTTTTTTGTGCCATCAACACTTTTATTTCTTCTAAAGAACAGTTTTTATGGCATCATTACTTTTATTTATTTTAAAGAACAGTTTTTATGCTGTCACCGCTTTTATTTTTTCAAATCTTTTATCCCAACATACATTTTATTTATTCTAGTCTTCTCTGCTATCATTACTTTTATTTATGCTAATGCTAGTTTAATTATGCTAACATTAGTTTTCTCTGCTATCTTTAGTTTGATTCATGCTAAAGCTAGTTTTATTATGCTAATGCTAGTTTTATTATGCTAACATTAGTTTTCTCTGTTATTAATTTTATTCATACTAAAGCTAATTTTATTATGTTGACATAAGCTTTCTCTGTTATCTTTAGTTTTATTCATGCTAAAGCTAGTAGTATTATGCTAACATTAGTTTTCTCTGCTATCTTTAGTTTGATTCATGCTAAAGCTAGTTTTATTATGCTAATGATAGTTTTCTCTGCTATCTTTAGTTTCTTTATGCTAATGCTAGTTTTATTCTGCTAACATTAGTCTTATATGCTATCATTAATCGCATTTATGCTAAAGCTAGTTTTATTATGTTAACATTAGCTTTCTCTGCTATCTTTTGTTTCTTTACGCTAATGCTAGTTTTATTATGCTAACATTAGTTTTCTATGTTATCATGAGTTTTATTTATGCTAAAGCTAACTTTATTCTGCTAACATTAGTTTTCTATGCTATCATTAATCTTACTTATATGTTAAAGCTAGTTTTATTATGTTAACATTAGTTTTCATCTGTCATCTTTAGTTTTATTTATATTAAAGCTAGCTTTATTATGTTACCATTAGTTTTCTATGCTATCATGAGTTTTATATATACTAAAGCTAGTTTTATTAGGTCAAAATTACTTAGTGTTTATTATTATATTATTTAGTGTTTTTTTTTTACCGGTGTGTGTTAACATTACTACTGCCACTAGTTGCAGTTTCTCATTGAATTAACAGTCATGGTTTATGATGCCAAACAAACTCCTGTCGTATAACAATCTGCTTCATTTCTAAATGGTTAAATGTCTGTTTTCTGCAGGAGAACGTGGATCTTACACCAGAGGTCCAGCGGCTGCTCGCTCATGATGGAACCATGTTGGTGGAGATGCAGCAGGTCGTCCTCGTCTCAACCGTCTGAGGAACAAAAGGCTGTTAGTTAACGAACCGCAAACAACTAAACAAACAACTAAACATCCTGGTCAGACTTTCATGTGCCGCAAACGTGGAGTCAAACAAAAGCAGCAAGAAGTCACATCTGAGCAGCCGGACCTGAGTTCTGTTCTGCTGCACGGCCCAGAAGTGACTCATTATCTACAGCAGAGCTTTCATTCTGTTCACATCTGATATTTATATTTGAAAACAGAACATCAGCAGCTTTAAGTGATGCAGTGTTTGAAATCCAGCTGGATGTGTTCTATATAATCTCCATTATTTTTTCCCTCCTACTCTGATAATAGACAGAAATGGCTTTAGGGTGTTGTCATTATTCATAATGCCTACAAGTCGTATTTTATTCTATTTTATTTTGCTCTACTATTTGATTTTATTAGTTTTATCCCATCTTGATATTTTGACATCACTTTGTTGCTGCCTGACTGTTGATGTTTTCGGCACTTTGGTCAACTCAGATTATTTTAAACATCTATAGAAATAAATCTTGATGTTCTTTATAATCTTTATATGTAGTTTTAATTAAATATATTTTTCTTTAAATGTAAATAAATAAATATAAACCCAGCTGTCTGTGATCTGTACGTTCAACATATTTGTGGTTTATTAAATACATTGTCTGTCTGATCATAGACAAAGATGATTTCAGTGTTTATTATAAACCCAGTTGTCAGTGTTCTATGTCATCTCTATATTGTAGTTTTAATAAAATAAATTCACATGATGAGATAATTAAATATATTTTCTGTTTTTATGATAAACAGACAACTTTAGTTTTATTATAAATATAAACCAAACTCTCTGTGTTCCGTATGTTCATTATTTTCTTGGTATATTAAATATATTTTTTGTAAACTCAAACTATTCTGGGTCCAAATATATTTAATATTTTCAGTGTTGATAATAAACAGAGAAAACTCCAGTGTTTTAGAACACACATCCAGCTGAATGTGTAATAAACACATTCTTGGTTTATAATTTTATTTTTAGTAAAATCTCCTCATTCTGGGTTAATTCAATAAATTTTCTCTTCTCAGAATAAACAGAGATGACTGTAGTGTTCTATAAATATAAACCCAGCTGTCTGTGTTCTGTTAATCTGCTTATTTTGGCTTTATTAAATATATTTATTGTAAAAATCTAAATATTCTGGTTAATTCAGTATATTTTCTGTTCTTATAATAAACACAGATGACTTTAGTATTATTTTTATGTACATATAAACCAGCTGTTTGTGTCTAATCACCTCTAATCTTCTTATTTTAGGCTTATTTATGATATTTATGGTAAAACCTCCACATTCTGAGCTAATGACACACATTCACTGTTCCGGACACAAACTCTGCATCCTGCTGGACTCTCTTCTCTCTTTTCTCTCTCGGAGCCTTAAAACACTTCTGTGGCGCTAAACTCAACTTGCCGCTAACTTTGCGCTTCAGCCGCCGCCGCCTAACGGCGCCGATCAGCGGATTATCGTCAGTTTGCGGCGGAGCTCAGATCTGCGCCACGATTTCTCAGCTCCGCGTCGGTCTGCAGGCAACTGGCAATCTGCCTGCTGTTTTCGGAAGCCATTTTCACTGGCCACAGTGGCCACCGACACGGACCCACCTGGTGCGGAGACGCGGCGGGGACACCGACCCCGTGCCCCGGCTGAAGCCCGGCTCCGCGTCGCCCCGGCCCGGCCGCCGAGCTCCGAGCCCCGGCCGCAGGGCTCCGGAGATGCAAAGTTTGGCGTCAATTTTCGCAGCGACTCAGTCGCCTGCTCGAGCTGTGACCACCATGTTTTATCACAGGAAATGACATGGAAACACGGAAGAAAGCAGCTGCGCAAAAATTAAAGTTAACCGGCTGAATTTGGAGGCTGCAGGCCGGTGAGGGAGGACGGAGGCCGGGCAGGGAGCCGCGGGAGGCGGCCCGGGAGGCTCCGGCTCCTCCTCACGGTTCACCAGAGACTCAGTCAGACACACACAGGACCGAAAGTTCACACACACAACTTCACTTTAACACTTAGATACGTGTTAAGTCCTCACAGACACACAACTCTGGTCAACACGTACTGAAGGACACACACACTGATGAACTACACGTTTTATTAGAAGACACACAAAAAACACACAAAACTAGAAGATATAAGATGAACAAAAGATAAAGGGATTACAAAGAGACACAAAATGACCACATCGACACAAACAAAACAACCACAAAGTCACACAAAACAAAAATAAAGACACAAAATGAACTCAAATAGACTTCAAACAACCACAGAGACACAATACAACCACACAAATACTAAATATCTACAGAAAACAGACACAAAACAGAGACTAAACAACCACACAGACACAAAATGTCCACAAAGACAAACAAAACAAAAAGGAGACACACAAAATGAACTAAAACAGATTTCACATGCCGACAAAAAGACACAAAACAACCACAGAAACACAAAATGACCAAAAAGAGACAGAAAATGATTCCAAAAAACACACAAAACAACCACAGAGTCAGAAAACTACCACAAAGAGGCACAAAACAAAAACAAGGAGACACAAAACCAGAACAAATAGACTTCAAACTCCCACAAAGAGATACAAAACAACCACAGAAACACAAAATGACCACATAGACACACAAAACAACCACAAAGATACAAAAAACGACCACAAACAAAAAGGAAAATGAGCACAAAGACACACAAAATGAACTCAAATAGACTTCAAACGGCCATAAAAAGACACAAAACAACCACAAAAACAGACACAAATGGCTATAACGCAACACGACTACAAAAACACAAAATGACCACAACATTTTGGAAAACACGAACTCACGCTGCTGTACAAACATCTATTGCACCAGACTTCATTCAAAATATTCCAAATTTTAGACTTGACTTTGTTCACGTCTTGTGTGGCGCTCAGACGTCTACAGCACCAGACTTCATTCAAAACTTTGCTAATTTTAGACTCCATTTTATTCAGGGTAAATCCTGTTGTTTCAGCCGATATTGCAAAACCCTTTATAGATTTCTGTAGCACTCAGATTTGTTCAAAACACTCCTGATTGTGGACTTGATTTATTTAGTTCTTGTGTGGCTGCACAGACTTCTGTAGCACCAAACTTCATTCAAAATATCCCCAATTTTAACCTCGTGGCTGCTTGTTTCCAGCATGGTGTTTCTCAAACTGTTTGATTTTCTGTTTTGGGGGGAAAAAATAAAGAATGCACATAAATCTAGTAGAGTTCATCTTGTGAGTTGCTGTGCATCCCTTCACGGCCACAGCTCTCCATGTTTCACCTCCAACAGCGACACAAAATGCAAACGAGAGACACAAACGAGATCCTGGAAGATTTGTTGGTTGTAATATTTTTATGTTTGATTTATTTCAAAATACAAAACTATAAAACATATTTAAAAGTATGTCTGTAAAAAAAATAACATTTGATAGCAGTTTGAAAAAATACAGTCTGAGGCAAGAAAAGGTCGAGAAACTGTCGTAAATCAGAAAAACACAGAAACAAGTCAGAAAATAAACGCTGAGACGTGGATCGTGGATCACTTTACAATAGTGTTTTTTTTGTTTTTAATCACAGTGCTTTAATGCTTCTAAATAATTCTTACAAACGGTGTAGAAGTCCATCTGTTTAACGTAGATAAGTTTAACAAGAACGAGAAGCTCCAGCGAAGCCACAGCTGAGTGAAGGCAGCAGCTTCTGCAGCACTTTACCAGCTGGAGTAAAGGTAAGTATCTCAGCTTGAGTCTGTCAACACGAAGCTGACGAGGCAGTTTGTGGTAACAATCGAAAATGAAAATAGTGGTTTGGCAGCGTTACCTTTTAGTGTGTTACCCGGGGATCGACTGATATGGGTTTTCTGGGCCGATACTGATTATTGGTGCACGAGAAAGGCCGATAAACGAAACCAGTAGAGAATAAATGTCATGTTTTAGCAGCACGTGATATCAGAGAACCTGTCATTCATCACTCGGCTTCTTCATTAATAAGAGCGACTGTAAGTGAGTATGTAAAACAGAAGTCAATAAACCAGGACGCTCTGCTCTGTTTATGAGGGATCCACTGCTGTTCATTTCTATTTTATTAATATTTTATCACTTTCATTGCCCACTAAGCTCCATATCTTAATGTTAATCTTGTTTTCCAGACTCTGTTTCAGGTTAATCTGAGGCTGCCTGCTAACTTAGCCGCTAGCGTAGCCTTAGCCACCGTGAGAACTTCCTGGTTTGTGTTTCTAGTTCAGTGTTTGCTGCTTGAGAGACGTTTCTTAAACCACAAAGTGACTAAAGTCAGAGAGAGGAGACTGCATCGGACCTGAAGCAGCGCATTTATCAATAATCGGTGAATAAAAATACAGATAATCGCAAATATCGGCCAGGATAAATCGATCGATCCCCGGTGTTACCGACCAGATCGGTTGTTTCAGCAGCTCCTACCAGCTCCTCAAAGGGACGTCGAGTAGAAACCTGATGGAAATAAACGGCGGGTTGGTGTAGACGAGTGTCCGATCTGCTCGTCGTAGCGCTCCTGGTTCTCCTTGTGGTAGGTGCTGTTGCTGTGTTTCCTGATGCGATTGATCTTGAACGCTCTGGAGCCTTTGATCAGAGATATTTTGCGGTAGCAGGAGGCGGCGAAGAGGCGGCACACGTGGCACCACATGGTGTCGAGGCTTGGCGAGTAGCGCAGGAACGAGAACATTGTGAGCCACTCCTTCCTGAAGCAACCGGTCGATTGCGGCGAACGATTGAGGTCCGACGGACTCGACTCGCTGTCGTCGTCATGGTGAGCGACCCGATCAGGTGAGAGCAGTTCCGACCCTGCAAGGACCGACACACACATTAAACGTCTGCAGAAAACTGACCATAAACTAACTGAAACATGTTCTGAAGCTAAAACAGGTCATAAATTAGTTGTTTTGATAACTGATTATCAGTTTGAGTAATTGTACGTAAGCATACATTCTCTATAAGACAACAAGGAAGGACAAAAAGCCACAACAAAACAACTGCAGAGACAAAGTGAACGACCAAAACGACGCATCAAACGACCAGAAGGATTCAGAGTAACTACAGCAATGCAGAACAACTACAAAGACTCAGAAACAAGGTGCTGAACGGACCAAAACTGACCCAAAGAAACTACAAAAACTTGGAGATAAGAATCAAAGCAGCCAGAATGTGAGACAAAACTACAAAAACACGAAACAGCAAAATGTAACACAAAACAAGTAAAAAGATTCAAAAACTAAACACAAAATGGCCAGAAAGTGACACAGAACAACTACAAAGACACAAAAATAAAACAAAAACAGTCAAAAAGTGACACAAAACTACTACAAAGACTGGAAGAAGTGATGACGTGGCTACAGAGAGACAAAACAAGTCACTGAAAACTAGAAAGACATGTAACATGAGACACAAAATGACCAGAAAGTGATGAAACACAAGACAGGAGGAAAAGGAAATCTGCAGTTAAATCCTCTAAATAAATAACATTTTCTCAGGTGGAAAAAAAAACTAGCAGAAGCTTCATTTTTGCTAAACTTACATTCAGGCGCCTCCTCTTCTACTTTGGGGATCGTCTCAGGGTTCTGGTCGGGTTGGATCACAGCCGGTGAAGCCTCCATGTCCTCCTGTTCTCCTGTAAACTGACACAACTTGTCCTTCAGCTCCTCGACTCTCCTCTGCAGCCGGACACAGTTTAAACAGGAGGACGAGGAGGGAGCGGGAGGCGAGGAGGAGGAGGAGGAGGAGGAGGAGGAGGAGGAGGAGGAGGCCTCACAGGCGTCAGACTTCTCCTTCAGACGTGGAACTTTGAAGTTCAGCTCCACGGTGAGCTCGGAGGTGGAGGACGCCGTCTTGGCCTGAGCTCTGGACCTGATGGAGGCCTCCAGCGACGCCTCCAGAGTGTCTCTGAAGAAGTCCTGAAACATCACGTCACGTTAGTCAAGCTGTGAACGCTACAGGTGAGCTGAGTGCAGATGTTGATTCAGTCGTACTCTGAAGCTGAGCTCCTCGTCTGCGGCAGGACGGTCCTGAGTCTCGTCTTCGGGCTTCTTACTGACGGTGGTGTTGGTCTGAAGGAGCGACTGCAGCACAGATTTAACTTCCCTCCAGGGAGGAACCGACGGCTTTCGGAAACCTGCAGCAGAGTTTACAGAACAGAGATCAGTTCAGGCTGATGATCGGTTTAACTTGAATCCAGGGATGCACAGTTCAAACAGTTTTCTTAACCAGCAGTCGTCTACATTAAGAATAAACAATCAATTAATCGTTAAAATAATAAAACACAGTAGTTTTTCTATGTGCATATTTGACCTGGAACACGTTTGTTTGCTGCAAAATGGAGAACATGGACAGAAAATGTACTTTAGCTCTGACTGACAGTAGAAACAGGAAACATCAGACTCACTGTCGTCTCAGTGGAACAAGCAGAGATTCTGAAGGCTTGAAATGGAAGGAACAGATTTTATGTTGGCTATTTTTGATATTCTGACCTTCTGCTGCCTCTGACTGTATCTGAGGAGATGTGAACGTCTCCGTCGGTTCCATTTCAATCCTTTTTCTTTTCATCTGCTTCTTCTTTGATATCGAGAGGCGCTCGGCCCATCTGGAGTCTCCTTCATCGTGATCCGGGTGTAGAGATGGAAACAAGTCTGAAAAACACTTCAATCGTCAAATTACTTGTTTGAGGATTCCCAAATACTCCACTCTTGTTTTAACAGGTTTGAAAATTGTGACCTTTTGCAAGTAGAGGCGCAATTTGGTAACCCGCTTAAAAATGTTCTTAGCCACACAATGTACAGAATATTTTTCACTAATATTGTCAGGAGTCCTTTGTTAATATGGTTTTATACTTAATATACATTTCAAAACATTAGGAAGTGTTTGAAACAATCTTCTGGCTGCTGGTGAATTTGCTTTCGATACCATTAAAGGGCTCCATGCAGTTTATGTAGACCAGAAGACAGAACTGTGGGAGTTTATCTACAACGACCACCATGACAAACACTCTTGTGACACTTAACGGTCTCTGGTCAAAATTCATGAGTTTAACACAAACTTGTTGATATTCTGACCTCCTGCTGCCTCTGATCGTGTCTGAGGAGCTTCTGAGGTCTCCGCCGGTCTCTTCTCTGACGTTTGTTTTTGTTTCTGTGTCTGTGGAAGACACTCGGCCCGTCTCAGGTGTCTGTCATGATGACCCAGGTTTAGAGATGGAACCCAGTCCGGATCTGACTCCAGCATCTCATACGCTGGTCTACCTGTAAAAGGACAAGCTGTTCAGCTTAGACGCAGCGGGGGATCCTGTGTGGTCGAGATTTTAGAGCTGAAACTAATCCAGTGATTGTTAAATGTACAACAAAAATGAGAAAAAAATGCTCATTAAATCATCAAATGTCTCATTTTGACCAACAAGCAGCAAAACCCAAAGATATTCAGCTTATGTTGAGGTGTAACTGTCAGCTGATCCACTGATCTTTCACCTGAAGACTGATTTATCACATGAGGTCATTATTTGAATTCACAGCGGGTTCATTTGTTGGTTTTATTTGTCCTCTGAAGCTGAAAACAACAGGTTTCCCATTTTCCCAGTGGATCGGTTCTGTGTGTATATTATTGTTTGTTACTTTAAATTATCGCCTCAGTTCACATTTTTATTTTAATCACAATAATAATAAAAGACTTCAACACCTTTTTGGAAAACTGGTCCAAAAAAATGCTGAGAATTTGACCACATTCACAGTACGTTGGTGACAAAAATCTGCTTTTTCGTACGATTTCTTAGAATTAAATGCTGTCTCACTTGAATCATTGATCTATCTGAAAAGGACATTGTTTTTTTAAATCATTATTATTATTTTTTTTTTTTTTCTTTTACATTTTCAGTGAACACCATTTGTTCATTTTTCACTGCACTATATGCAATCTTTTTTCTTTTTTTGACCAATTTTCTAAAAAGGTCTTGAAGTTAGGTCTTAGTTAAGTGGTTTTATTACAGAGGTATGCTTTTGTAAATCACTGTATTTTAAAAAAAAAATTGCTTCTTTATTAAAATTTGTGGCTGTTTAAAAACAGACCCGACCTCGAAACAGCTCAGATTGTTTTCAGTATTTTAAAATGCGTTCAATAAGTTTATAGATAATGAAAATAAAACTCAGGCTGTTAACAACAAATAAAAAACAAGTTGCAGGGAGTTCTGCTTTTCACAGTTTTGATTTAAAGTGAATTAATAAATAAAAACTAGTTGATCAAAAGCTGTAAATATGAACTCCTTCCCTCTTTCTCATTAGTATTTTCACATTTTCCCTTAAAGACTTCATCAACAACAGTCTGAGTTAAGACTGATGGATGACATGTTATGAACACAAAGCAGCAGGTTGTTTGGTTTGAACTCACCGGAGTGGAAATGCCGGGAGCACACTCTCATGGAGGACGGGATGCTGTCGAAAGTGATGCTGCTCCGGCCGACGGCGGCCACCCAAGCCGCCCTCCGCCGCTTGGTCAGCTCCGATATGTGGCCGCCTTCGTTGGTCCTCCAGGCGGGGAAACAGTGGAAGGTCAGTCCGTTGGGGATTTTCCTGCCGTGGTGGTCGTGGGACCGGCAGCGGCAGTACTTAACGCAGCAGTTTCTGCCCCCCATTGAAGCCTGAGAGCCGCGGAGGAGCCGCGGAGGAGCCACGGAGGAGAGACGCAGGTAGACAGTTGACGCACCGGCACCAAAACAAACTGCCGCCAACAGTCATGGCTGATCTCCCACAATGCCCTGCGGCGGGACGTTACGTGACGACGCGACTTACGCTGTTGTTATTTAGATTTTTTATT